GGAATGTATTCGTGATCGCCGCCATTCTTCTGGAGCGAAACTTACAGTCAGTCGCCAACTACCTCATACTTAGTCTTGCTGTGGCTGATCTGCTCGTTGCTGCACTTGTGATGCCTCTGGGGGCTGTCTATGAGGTAAGGAGGGGGATGCGGGGATGAGGAGGATGGGAGGGAGGGGGGATGGAGGGAGGGATCTGGGATGGAGGGAGGGGGGATGGAGGGATGGAGGGAGGTAAGAAGGGGGATGCGGGGATGAGGAGGATGGAGGGAGGGGGGATGGAGGGAGGGGGGGATGGAGGGAGGGGGGGGGATGGAGGGAGGGAGGGAGGGAGGGGGGATGGAGGGAGGGGGGATGGAGGGAGGGGGGATGGAGGGAGGGGGGATGGAGGATGGAGGGAGGTAAGAAAGGGAATGCGGGGATGAGGAGGATGGAGGGAGGGGGATGGAGGGAGGGGGGATGGAGGATGGAGGGAGGTAAGAAGGGGGATGCGGGGATGAGGAGGATGGAGGGAAAGAGGATGAAGGGAAGGAGGGAGGGGGGGATGGAGGGTTGGAGGATGGAGGGAGGGGGGATGCGGGGATGGAGGGAGGGGGGGATGGAGGGAGGGGGGGATGGAGGGAGGGGGGGATGGAGGGATGGAGGATGGAGGGAGGGGGGATGGAGGGATGGAGGATGGAGGGAGGGAGGGGAAAGGGTGGGAGGTTTGGAGGAAGGGGGGATGAAGGGATGGAGGATGGAGGGAGGGGGGATGGAGGGAGGGAGGATGGAGGGAGGGGGGATGGAGGGAGGGGGGATGGAGGGAGGGAGGATAGAGGGAGGGGGGATGGAGGGAGGGGGGGATGGAGGGATGGAGGGTTGGAGGGAGGGGGGGATGGAGGGAGGGGGGGTGGAGGGAGGGGGGATGGAGGGAAGGAGGAGAGGGAAGGATGATGGAGGGAGGAGGATGAAGGGAGGGGGATGGAGGGAGGGGGGATGGAGGATGGAGGGAGGGGGGGATGGAGGGAGGAGGGATGGAGGGAGGGTTGGAGGGAGGGGGGATGGAGGGAGGGTTGGAGGATGGAGGGATGGAGGGAGGGGGGATGGAGGGAGGGGGGATGGAGGGAGGGGGGGATGGAGGGAGGGGGGATGGAGGGAGGGGGGGATGGAGGGAGGGGGGGATGGAGGGAGGGGGGATGGAGGGAAGGAGGAGAGGGAAGGATGATGGAGGGAGGAGGATGAAGGGATGGAGGATGGAGAGAGGGGGGGGGAAAGGGTGGGAGGGTTGGAGGGAGGGAGGAAGGGGGAAGGATGATGGATGGATGTAGGATGGAGGGAGGGGGGGAAAGGGAAGGAGGATGAAGGGAAGGAGGATGGAGGGAGGGGGGAAAGGGAAGGAGGATGAAGGGAGGATGGAGGGAGGGGGGGAAGGAAGGAGAAGGATGGATGATGGATGGAGGGGGGGGAAAGGGTGGAGGGTTGGAGGGAGGATGAAGGGATGGAGGATGGAGGGATGGAGGATGGAGGGATGGAGGATGGAGGGAGGGGCAAAAAGGGAAGGAAGAAACGGAAGGAGGATGAAGGGATGGAGAATGGAGGGAGGAGGAAAAGGGAAGGAGGAAAGGGAAGGATGATGGATGGAGGATGGAGGGAGGGGGGAAAAGGGACGGAAGATGAATGGAAGGGGAAATGGGTGGGAGAGTGGGAGGAAAGGGGGAAAGGGAAAGGGAGGACGGAGGAAGAAAGAGGTGAATGAAGGGTGGGGGGCTGTGTATGAGGTAAGCGGGAATGAGGAGGAAAAGGGGAAGGAGGAAGGAAGGAGGATGAAGGGAGGAGGATGAGGGTGGGAGGGTGGGAGGAAGGGGGAAGGGAGGAGGGAGGAAGAAGGAGATGGAGGAAGGAAGGGGATGAGGAGGAAAAGGGAAGGAGGAAGGATAGAGGATGAAGGGAGGCTGAAAAGGGTGGGTGGGTGGGAGGAAGGGAAGGAAGGGGAGAAGGAAGGGAGGAAGGAAGGGGAAAGGGAGGACGGAGGAAAGGAAAAGGAGGAGGGAGGAAGAAGGAGATGGAGGAATGAAGTAAGAGTTGTGTATGAGGTAAGAGGAAGGAATGGGGGTGAGGAAGGGGTAAGGATGGAGGAGGATGGGGTGGGGGAAAGAGGGGGAAAGGGGGAGGAGGGAAGGAAGATGGGTGAAAGGGGAAAAGGAGAGGGAGGAAAGGAAGAGGGGGAGAAGGAGAAGGAAGGAAGGGGGAAGAGAGAAGGAGGATGAGAAAGATGGAATAGTGAGGAAGGGGGAAGAATGAAGAAGGGGAGGAAGGAAAGTGAAAAGAAAGGAGGTAGAAGGAGGAGAAAAGAGAATAAAGGACTAGTGAGTAAGGAAAAGAAGGAGTGAGGAGGAGGAGGAGAAGAAGAAAAAACGGGGAGGAAGGAGGAAAGGGGAGGGAAGAGGAGGAGGAGGAGAAAGGAGGAGGATGGAAAGGAAGAAGGAAGAGAGAAGGAGAATGAAAAGGGGAAAAGAGAAGGGAGAAAGAAGTATAGAAATAAACAGGAAAGGAAGGGGAAGTGAGGGAGGAAGAAATGAAAGGGAGGAGGAGCAAGGGAGGGATGAAGGGAAAACAGAAGGAGAAAACAATGAAAATAGGAAGAAAATGGAGAAATGGAAGGAGGAGGAAGGAAGAAATGTGAACTGTTACTTCTCTGGATAAAGCTGATCGGATGAAGGAAGTGAGAGAGAATAAGAAACACGGTGGGTGGGCAAGGAAAGGGATAGAAAGGGAAATATTAAAAAGGAGAGAGATTGAGAAAAATAAATATGGTGAAAAAAAAACACGAAAAAATAAGGAAATAATGCGAACAAATGGATATGAAATCAATACCCCCAATAAGAAAGAAAGAAAGAAAGAAAGAAAGAAAGAAAGGAAGGAAGAAAAAAAAACAGAAAGAAAAAAAAACTAAAAACTAAAAAGAAAAAGAACAAAAAACCTTTGACAAAAACACAAACAACAAAAAAAAGAAACAACAACGACACCGTATTGACACATTGCAAAATATATTGCAAGCCCATATGTTACCAGCCTAATTAATAACACATCATTAGAAAGGCTATATTTTTTGCCATAGAATTCAACGCATCGTGCAACCGTAATCATTACCGAAGTGATCAATTTACCGGGAAGCTGGGTTCTGAATAAAAAAGAAAGAACGAGAGAAGAGAAAAAAAAAGGCATTGATAACAGATTTTTATTTCAATCCAGAGTTGTTATAATTACCCATCAATATTTCTGAAAGAGAAGATAATTGCAATTTGTGGTATCTACAGTTATGTGTATCTATCTATCTGTCTACCTATTTATCTCTTTATCTATCTCTTTATCTCTCTCTCTCTCTCCTTCTCTATCTATCTATCTATCTATCTATCTATCTAACTATCTATCTATCTATTTATTTATTTGTATGTCTTTCTCTCTCTCTCCCTCTCTCTCTCTCTCTCTCTCTCTCTCACTCTCTCTTTCTCTCTTTCTCTCTCTCTCACTCTCTCTTTCTCTCTCTCTCTCTCTCTCTCTCTCTCTCTCTCTCTCTCTCTCTCTCTCTCTCTCTCTCTCTCTCTCTCTCTCTCTCTCTCTCTCTCTCTCTCTCTTGGATTTTACGCCTCATTCCATTGCTTACCGCAATAAACTCTCACTAAGTTGCAAAAGCGTTCAGAAAGGAATCGAAACGTAAAAGAAAATGGAATCACTATAATTTACAAGCAGTGTTTATACGTTTATTGATTCACTTATGAATCTTCGAGTTCTAGACAATATTGTTGACGTTTTGCTCTTTACGGTAGAGAGATAGACAGACAGATAGACCGACAGATAGGTAGATTGATTGATGGATAGAGAGATAGATAGATAAATAGATGAATGGATGGATATAGATATAGTTACATGGCTTGGTAGAGAGAAAGACAGATAGATAGATAGACAGATAGACAGGTAGATATATAGACAGATAGACAGAGATTGATTGCTACATAGACACATAGATAGGTACACTGACAGATAGATTGATATAATGATATAAAGATAGACTGATTGATATATAGATAAAAAAGATATATATACAGAAATAGAAGTAGATAGATAGAAAATCAGATAGATAGATCGATAGAAGTGTAGATAGACAGAGAGACAGACAGACGAACACACACACAAACAGACAGACAGAGAGAGATCCTTGACGTCGCAACGAAGAGTTAAGGAAGAGGAAGAATCTTGAAGGAGCTCTCCAAACTTGATGTTAGGAAAGAATAGAAGCTTTTTTTTTATTCGTCGAGAGATATACTTGCAAACTTGGGAGTAGCAATTGAAGAACAAGGGGAAAAAAAGGAAGGAGGTGAGGAGGAGAAAGGAGGAGGAAGGGGGATAGGGAAGAGGAGAGAGGAGGAGGGAGGGGGAAAGGGAAGAAGAGAGAGGAGAAGGGAGGGGGAAAGGGAAGAGGAGAGAGGGAGAAGGGGAGGAGAGAGAAGGAGAGAAGGAGGAAAGAAAGGGGGAGATAGAGGAGGGGGGAGACTTTAAGAAGGAAGAGGAAGGAGAAGAGTAGAAGGGAAGAAGGAGAAGGGAGGAGAAAAAAAGGCAAGAAGGCAGAGGCAGTGAAGTAAAGGAAGAAGGAGAAGGGAAAAGGGGAGAAGGGGGAAGACAGAGGAGGAAATAGAAAAGAGGAAGGAATGAAGGAAGAGGAAGGAGGAGAAATGAGGAGAGGAAGAAGGAGAAATGAGGAGAAGGAGGAAGAACAGAAAAGGGAGAAGGATGAGGGAACAAGAAAATGTGAAGAAGGAGGCTTTAAGAAGACGGACAAAGAAAGAGAAGATAGGAGACGTAAGAAGAACATAAGAGAAAGTGGAAAGAGAAGGATATAGAGCAGAAAGAAGAAGAGAGAGAAGGAACGAAAAAAAAGAAAAATGTAGAAGGAGAATAAAGAAAGAAGAAGGAAGTAAAATAATCAAAGGTAACAAGACAGTAGAAAAAGAAGGAGAAGGAGCAGGAAGAGTGGCATGAGACGGTATTTTTTGAGACAAAACGTGTCGAAGTGAAAAACAAAAGGGGAGAAAAAGGGATGCTGAGTGTGAGAAAGTCTTTCAAAGAATGGGAAACAGTATTGACGTTTTCATAATAGGGA